GATCCGAAGTATTTTGCGTAGACAATTGTTAATAAACACTTGTATCTTTTGAATGATAACTTGAGTAGTTCTCCAGGTTTCCACCCCATACAGTAGAACTCGCTAAAATAATGCTAACTAGAAAAAAAGCACCTGAAAAACGTGCGAATAAAAAAGCTAACCTAAATCTATTTTATCTGATACAATCATATTTTTTATCTTCAAACTAGTTATCATAATTTCTCATTCTTATAAAATGAATTTATCTTTGTATAAAACACTAATCTTTACTGGCACATCCAAAGTTACGTAACAAATTAGATAATCCGAAAAAATTCATTCGACGATAAATTTTCGAGTGGAATGTATTTTTATCGCAGTATATATGATAATAATTATTCGCAGTGTATAAATTAAGAAAAGAAATAAAAATATAACTGAAATCATGTCTCACAGTCAATTTTAAAGTAATCGTTTCAAAGTTCAATTCTATGCCGTTTAGTATTCGAAATGCACGCATTAGTCAATAGTGCTTTAAATCAGTTAAGTTGTATTCATTACCAGTATGTGCTGCTTAATTTTAGCACAGGAAAGGGATCATAGAGTAAATTTGTTACTGATATTTCACAATCTCGAAGAGTTTTACTATACAAAGGATCTCAACTAGAATGTAAAGTCCTGGGTTCGAATTCTGCATGCGAGATCGTGGATGAGCACCACTGAGGAGTCTCATGCTAGGACGAAAGGGCCATCCAGTGCCTCCAGGTTTACCTTGACTTATGATTTCAACTATTTATTATGTCACAAGATATCAACCTACATTTATCATTACCATAAGTTAATTGATGATGAAATGATGAAATAAATTAAACGTATTCATATTTGTATGTTAAATTTTAATGTCATTTTTGTATTTGCTTAAACAACTAACTAATAAAATTCCTAGTCGATCTACTTTTCAGTTATGAGTAGTTCATTAAATTAGTTTTAATAAATAAATGCGTACTCAAGAAAAAGATTAATGTATTACCAATATTGATGCTGAACTCTTAAAATTTATAGATAGTTAGTGAACATCAAACGAATATTTCGTTCTCAGAAATACATTATGTTAAACACTTTATATTCTTTATTATAAACTCTGCATTCAAAGCTGATCATGCCGTCCATACAAATTCATTTTCGTGTAGTTTGTTTGAATCATCCCATTAATGTTTGGGACTACAATTGATCAGTCTATTGTTAGCATATAAGCATCCTGTGCGGATCGCTTCAGTTTTACCTTAAGTCACAAGCATTATAAGAAAAGATAGATGGTGGCTAGTGGTGGAATGACGCGCATCTCATCCTATTTTTGACTCGTCATCGGGATGAACCTGTATCCCAGATTTGATATCCACCCCATCGCACAAGCTAGAGGCTATCAGAACTCAATAGCTAAGTGGATAACATGATGGAGTTTGAAGGGAACGGAGTGCACATAAACTTTAGGACGTAGGTATATCCATTTGACGAGTCCTGAATGGGACGAAAGAGTGTCTTGGTTTTCACTACTAGTCACCATCCACCTTTGCTTCAATCCATATAAAGAGTTTAACCGAAAAACTATGGTCTAAAAATGAGCAGTAGGTATTTGTGAATAATAGATATATAGCATGGGTGTTCCAAACAGTTTCCTGAATCCCAACAAAGATGAAGAAATGTTAATTACTTTTTGAGACACGTCAACTCACTCATATGAATAGAATGTTTGAGAGAGCTGTTGTTTTAAATAAGCTTGCCACCAGATTCTAAAACTGTAAATCTGTAAGTATTGCATTGCATTAATCATTATACTAGGTGATGCACATAGATATCACGACTAAACAAATCAGTTTTAAAACCTATAAGGATAAGATTTCTCTTTATTTGAAATAATTAGAAACTTCTTCATTAGTGAATTTGTTCATTTATATGAGAAAGGACAAGAATGATAATCGTAAGTGGTGTGTTACATTAATTGGATGCATAGATCGAGCTTTTTTAGTTGACTCAGGTCAACTGCTCTCTGTAGTAGAGATATACTTCTGCTTACTTCGGTGAAGTACCTAGAAACCTGTAGAGCCCGTTGAGTTCGTTGGCGATAGGCTCACCACATTTTGTGGGGCCGTTGATCTGACTCTAAGTTGGTCGTATGATTGATCGTTGTGGAAATATATATGGGCCTTATCCTCGTTATATAATCATTGACTTTATTCGCGTTAATCAATAACGGAATTAAATAAGTCAAATAACGAGAATGGACTTTTGAATACATATATTTTGCATAATCGTTGATCGGACAAACGAACAAGAGAACGATGCGAAGATGAGAAAACGAAGCCCAATTGACTCTCGGTGGAGATGTCTGGTAAGCCAACTCCCCTTAAACCAAGAGTTGATCAATATTTATAAGCACACAAAAATAAATTACAGACATATGATGAGTAATGGGATAATGAGTGTACACATGCCTACGCGCTCATATAAAGATAGTCAAGATTGATAAGCGAATAAATAGCATGGTCAGAATGTGACTCAAGTAGAATGAATAGATTGAGATGTCCGAAAGTTAGAATAAGGTATTTGGGCTTAACATAATAACAGACACTACAAACCCATAAGAAGCAGAAAAATCGTTCTTTCTATCATTCATAATCTTACAGAAGAAAGGCAATGGCCACACTTTCGAAACGTTTACATTTTTTGTAACTTGCAGATAGCTAAGATAATTATGCGAGTACATTTTCAAGAGTATCCGTAAGTAGGTCATTCCGACTGCGATATAACCACGAAGTTTCTAAAACTTTTTTAGTATTGAAAACAACCTTGAGCTTGATGGAATAATCATAAAAATAAACCTCAATACCGCCACATTTCACACCCCGGACAATTTATCTCCTTAATAAATATACGAAATTATGTTATAGATCGATTATGTATTCAGATAATAATATAACCCTCAAAGTTTGGTGCAAAATGCAATACACAACTTTAAATATGAAATCATAAGATGATAACGTGAACAATATATAAATGACGACCACTTAAATGTCATTTGGTAATTATTGAAGCGAATAAATCTCTTCAATTAATCTACTAATTAATAAACAATGAATCATCACTTATATTACTAGTCGTCATAAATAAGTAAAAGCTCTTATCAATCTATAAAACTCAGTGAATAATAAATTTCTTAAGTAAACCTCTATCATTTTAGTTGATATTCCAAATCATATAACAGAGAATATCTGTGAACACATTTACGAACCATTACAATACTATAAACTAGTAATGCACTGCGTCATGATGTACTAAACCTGTATCCAACAGTCGATATTTCTATTAAATTAATAAGTAAGAACATTATATTGAAACTTTAGTTAATTACTTTTAAACAATAATCAACTGAATTCATGTAGTTTTATACCAACAAATTGTACCCATGCTTTTTAAATACATATAATGGCAAATAGAATAATTTCACTAGTTGAAATCATGAGTCCATTGAAACTAGATCACCATTTGACTCAATTGGCTCATGATTTCAATTAGTGAAATTTCTAAAAAACTGCTCATTAGTGACTGACTTCAAGAGACATTTCCTGGAGTTCTAGTGAGAAGCCGTGACCAGTAGAGTTCAACCAGGTCTGTTGTAAGATATCAACTCACTGAAGAAAATGGTGTACGGTGGCGTGATTTCGTGTATTGGTTGAAGTTAGACATTGACACAGTTGGATGCCGGCTCAGTGGTCTAATGGTCAAGCGCTCGCGCGCTAGGCCGACAGGTCTCGGGTTCGAATCTCACTGTGGGCGGGATCGTGGGTGTGCACTGCTGAGGAGTTCCATGCTAGGACGAAACGGTCGTCCAGTGCTTTCAGATTTTCCATGGTGTTCTAGCTTTAATTGACTCATGATTTCAACTATTGAAATTTCTAAAAATCTCCACAATACCCCTGGTGAAAATAGAATATTTGTTAACCAGAATAACATAACAATTGTAGTCAACAAATACTTAACATTATAATGACAGTTTATTATATCTTTAATATTTCATTTATTATATTGAGTTTTATAAAGTCAAATTTTAAATTAGGCAACAAATATTCTATGAGATGATTCTATTCTACAAATTCAATAACATTGGTTAATTGAGATTATGTTTACCTGAATGAAATATTTATACAAACCGAATGACTGTAAACACCACAATATTACTCTGATATACGTATTTATAGGTATACACTTAATTTTACTCGCATATATATATATATATATATATATATATAATAGTAAATGGTATTTAATACACTTCAAGTAGACTACATAGAATCTTGAGGATTTCACACTTGAATGAACTTTATTAATATTCCATTCTCGTTATATTTTAACACTAACAATAGTTCAAATCATTCATAAAAGTATGTATACACAAGTGTAATTCATTGACTAGTTTATTAAAATCAACCGTATCTAATTTAGAATAAAAAGTATTAAAAAAATCCCATAGTTAACCAATAAAATATCGTGATTTCAAATGTCTATTATATAAAAATTACGAATCAAAATATCGTAACAATCAGGATTGTAAAAGCCTTTACTTCTAGCATACATACAGTATATATATATATATATATATATATATATATATATATATATATATAATTCATGGATATCAATAGGGTAACTGTACACAAAATATCTATGGACGACGGTAAAAGAGATTTCTTTTTTTTAAAAGAAAATTATGACCAGGTTTAAATATTAGAAATTTTTGTTGTTGAAAAATATTTAACTGACCTATAATTTCACTGATTTTATCAATTATCATTTTAACCAATAAAAATAGAAGATTTAATTCAATGTATTTCACTATTCATCATATACTAGATATAACATTAAAGAAAAGATCAAGATAATTAGTAATGTTGAAATTATTTCAAAGATTTATTTCTTAAATAGTATTTATAATAATATTAAAACATTGTCTATTACAGATAATCATGTCCAATAATACTAATATTACTACAACTGATATTGTTGATAATAGTAATACTAATAATAATAATAGTAGTAGTAGTGAGACAAAATTAGATAAACATATGCAAACAACTGCATCTATAGATGAATTAATTTATGGATTATATCATATTACAATGGAGATATCGCCTACATGTCGCCAAGCTGCTACATTATTCTTATCAGGATTTTTTGTTGTTGGAGTACTTTGTAAGTTTAAATAATTTAGTTTAATGAATCAAAAGGTTTTTGTAGTGAATTATTTATAGTTATTGGTATTTCTGATGATGTTTTATTGTTAATGTAAGACAATAATTGTGTTGCTTTTTCATAAGGAATCAGTTCTCCTTATTTTATTATTCACGTAAAATATTATACTTACCATAAAACCAGTACAAAATTCTCGTTTATTATTATCCACTCTCCCTACTTTGGGGGAAATTCTGGGGTTTTGCTCCATATTCTCAAAATTTCCCCAAAATAGATAAAAGTTTTCCCTAAAAAAAGGGGATTGGGTACCTCAAGAATAATGTGAAAGATAATATACAAGTTCTGTTTAAGTAAAACTTCTTAGTATAAATAGAATACGATGAATGAACAAAATGTACACTAAAACCTAAAGAATAATAAATCACTTTTAATGTTATGAAATATGTTCGGATAATTATGAACAGTGTTAAACGTCGCAAACACTAATAAAGTTTGAAAATGTTTTTTTTAATTTTACAGAATGTCAGTTGCACAGGTATTAAAAAACCATTGAGTAAAGAATAACAAATGCTTCAAATAATTTTCAAACAATACTATAATATTCACACATGTTCTTCACCGAACCCCTTGATAATAATACATAAATGGAAACCTTCTTCGTGAAAAATAATTTTCAGTTCCGTTTAATAGCATCAGTACAGTTAAGCTTTAAATTTTAGAATGGGACATCTCTTTGATTAACAAAACTTGTATAAAGTGTTCTAATTATTGTTATTATTTATTATTATTACTATTACTAGCTTTATTCAATATTATATTAGTAGTACAAGATAGAATTCTCAGTACAAAGTATTTCAGCGAGTTTCTGTTTCTTATTGCTTGATCAATATTGACAATAAATATTGAGTGATCGCCAGTCACATATTAACATTTCACAAGTCAGTATCTGAATAATATTTATTCTTTTCAATTCATATTACCAGCCATCACGATGTCTCCGATTGTACATTTATTGTAAATTGTACAGCTAAAGGTCGTAAACTTTCCATAAAGCTATCTGAATAGGTTATCCAACTAATTGACATAATGATCTGCTAAAATAAACAAGATAACAGATAGCTTATTGAAATATCTAGATGATAGGAACAGGTAGCTCAGATATTCAAGCACGCCTCTCGGACGAGGTTAGTATCAGTACTAAATATCGGCAATTTTAGATAAAAATGTTTGACCATCTTTAGCTGCTTCGGTCATTCATACTTATGATACTACTGTGAATAATCTTGAGTTTAAAAAAAATCGTGTTTTCAATCGTCATTTTTATTGCTTGTTATTCCAAAACGTGATATATTATTTATTAATCCAATTTAGTTGAAAATTTATTATTCCTGAATGTAATTTTACTGCAGTCAAAATGATTGGTTTCATTATACATGATTTAAGCTAGTTCATTCTAAATAAGCTTTTTCTGTTAGATTGTGTTCATTGATTACATTTTCCAGTAAACACTTTAAAAGTAAATGTTTAAAGTCACATGAAACTGGGTATCCAATTACTAGATTATTAAAACAAAATAGTTAATTCTATTTAAAATTCTATTCAATGATTTAAAAGTACTGAAACGTGGATATGCACTACCGAGGAGTCCCATACTAGGACAAAACAGCGGTCAAGTGCTTCCAGGTCTTCGATGGTGGTCTAGCTTAGATTGACTCATGGATTGAACTATTAAAATACACTTATGCAAATACAGCGATGCGATATGTAGATGACATACATTTTCAAGATAAAATTGTGAGTAGACAACCAAATTTATATGATATAAAACACTGTTAATTAATAGGTAAGTCAGATATCAAACTAAACATTTGCCAGTCAATAGTATATGGTTAATGGAAAATTAGCTGAATTTTTTGGATATTTTACTGGTACTATATACATTTCTGTAGTTATCTTTAATCCCCTATATAAGTTACTTATTTGTATATAAGTAAATATCATTATATCCATAATATTAGAAATCATTGTTTATCAATATGTGTTGCAGTTTGGCTATCGTGAAAAAAAAAATCACTGTGATAATTGTTCGGTTATCTCTAATTTTAAATATTCTGAGTGTTATTACCAGTCTGTGATTTGTTGAACTGCACCAGTTATCCTAATGTACATGCAATCTTAAGGAAATTGATATCATATTAATTATTGAAAGATAGGAAGTTGTATTATTGAATACTTGAATATTCATTCGTCAGTAACGTATTTAGACATTTCACTAGATAATAATTGCCAACATTTTATTGTTTCTAAATGTTCTTTTAATTTTCAACATTAAAAAAATACGAGATCATTCTATTTCAAACACTACACGTACTGAGAACACATTAAAACGTAATATAATAAAACACACCATTTTTGTTATCAATATATGTAGAATCAATTTTGAAAAAAACCTCGCATTCAATTGTCAATTCTAAAGGTTTTATTTTTTAGTTTAATAATATGCCTAATTAATGAAACTTCCTTTTTTATTGTATTAAAATAATTTGCATTTTGACTGATACCAGTAACTAAATTAAACGGCCGTTTTGTCTTAGTATGGAACTCGGCAGTGCGTATCCACGATCCTGCACTTGAGATTCGAATCCACGAGCTTTAATCTCATGGGCAAACCTCTAGACAATTTAACTGACATCTAATGATGTCAATGCCTAACTTCAACCAATCCACGGGCGATACCGCGCTTACATTTTTCCATTGATGGTCTAACACTAATCGATTCGTGATTTTAATCAAAACTCAACAATCTCCGCAACCTCAAACTGATTATTAAACTAAACATTCGTCGAGAAATTATAAAAGAAAATTTATTAGAAGATAAAATTTTGGAAGTAAAACTCATCAGAGTATTTCAATGTTTACTCGTAGAATGTAAAGTTTCGAAAATAATGTACAAAAGTCGAACTGCTTTTCTGAAAGCTTTCATAATACTATACGTAACAGATGTGTTTAACAGCAATGTGGTGAATTACGACCGCGTATGCTAGTAAGGAAATATTCTCATTAATTAATTTATTTTGTTAAGGTGAACGGTGTTTTTAAACCAAATATTTGTATATACTTCATAGACATTAGAAAGCAGGTAACAACTCCAGCAGGATGTTTAGTACCATTGGATTCCATCTCAGTGGTCTAGTTGGCTATGTGCCTGGAGCGAGACTGATAGGTCCTGGATTCGAGTCCCGCGGGGGGCGGGATCATGGGTGCGCAATGCTGAGGAGTTCCACACTAGGAAGAAATAGCCGTCTAGTGCTTTCAGGTTTTCCATGGTGGTCTATCTTCAATTGACTCATGATTTCAACTGTTGAAATTTACAAATATGTCAAAAACTAAACTCATGAAACATTTTAATTGATATAACATCATTGTAGATAACGTTAATGTCTAAGATGTCTGACTTATGAGATGATGGAGAAGATTTGTAGCTCAGCTGAATGATTTTGATGTATTTTTTCTCTGAACTCAAGACACTTCAAACATTAAATTTCAATGTTGATGGATATACATGTATACCATCAAACTAAAGCTTTCTAACAAAGTCAATATTATATTTTTATGACTGTTACCTAAACTAATTTCGAAGCTTCAATAATTAAGGTGAATATGTAAAACTGCAATAATTCTTATTTTTTTATCAAGATGACATTATTTAGTACATAATGTACCATCATTTACTGTCAATCAATGATTACATTTAGAATGTTGAAATACTGATTTCTAAACTATTCGATATAGTTTCTCGAAATAGGAAAAAAGAACACTTCACTAAACTGACAAATATACATTGAAATATTCTTTGTTTACAAGGAATATACTCTCTGTTTACCATGTAATGAGTTAAAATACATTTTTAGATTTAAAAGTGATAGGTCAGTATTAAATTTTCTAGTTGTGTATAAACCCAATCATTATTTATCACAAAAAGATAATACAACGGATTAACTTGTTTGGTTGTTGAGCTACTGCATATCTTTTCTTATTTTTATATATTAAGACATTGACAGGAAGAATCATTTCAGGACATAAAAGGAAGAGCATGTCAGACTTAATTAAAAGTAATTTTGGTGATTAAAAATATTAAATTAACTACAGTTTTTCTTAATAAGTAAATCTGCAGCAAAATAGATTTGAACATGCTGAAGATCTCCACTACTAGTGAAGCTTATAAGGTTCAAGTTTTATTATTTAACTTGGCAAATGTAAGTCCCATTACTGGGCTATTCTAGTGATGCAACATTAAATATAAGTTTATTTGGATATAAATTGAAACTAGGTTACTGCTATTGTTCAGATTACACTTTAATACAACACTATTTTCCAATTTGATTAAAATGCTCAAACTATCAATATCAGTTTAGTCATTTGATAATGAATTCATCATCTATGTTACTTAAGTCAAGCCAAGATCACACAACTTCACTTATGTACGTTGCCTAAAACGTATCACCACAGCTTAGTTTTTATAAAAGGAAAAATTTAATTTTATTGCAAGTGGATAAATAAATCTAACTTCATGAAATCAAACACTTTGACTCACTCTCCTTCATAAATTCACAAAAAAAGCGCTGAGAAATTATTGACCTACTACGGAATACAACAAGAAATATCATTAGAAAAACTATAAAAAAGTCACACTGGAATAAATTCTACTTAAGTAATCTTTTTAATTTATCCATTGAAAGCGTTTCTATAGAAATGATAAGGTGTTAATTAACTTGACAATCGTAACATAAAACTTCTAAAATTAGCAGGTTTATAAATACAACTTGTAAGTTAATACAGAAAATTCTATAGTCTTCATTCATCAATCAATGTTGATCATGTGTCAACATTTAAGATTTGTCAGAAAAATACTTAACTATTTCAAAATAATCTATCTCCCTTCAGTATACTTTTACCTTCTGACTTATAAGAAACGAAATACTTATGATTTTCTAGGTACT